CACACACACACACACACTCACACACACTCACACACCACACACATTCTCGGACGTTGTAATCCCTAGTGTCCAGCACATTCTCTTACCTTGATGACCCGTTAATGACCTAGGTCTGCCATATCAAGACAACGTGTCTTATCTCTTTTCAGCTGGACGTTAAATGCAGATCTTTACTTAGTACGAAGTTTGTCTTCCGTACTCAATGTTTCTGAGCAGCAATACTTAAGTTAAATATTAAATTGTAATAGTGGCTGCAGTTCCTACTCTAGCCGTTAGATCAATGAACCCAACACAGTTGACTTGACCGTATGTTTGGCACGTCAGCATTATATTCGGTTTATTTGGTTCAGAAACTCATCTGACACTTGAAACACTAAAAGAATAAAAGAAGTAGACTAACGCAAAACACCTTTAAGACACTGGGTCTGAAAAGATATAACTAAATGTATTTCATCGTTACTGACTTTTTCTCAAAGAAATGTTGATTGAAGTTTCTCGAGCATTGGTACCATGTCACCATTATCGCATAACAGGGAGATGCAGGTGTGTTCTTGGAGAGTGTCACTTTAAAGTTCTACTTCTTTTCTTAGTTTCTGTTATCTGTGACTGTCTGTCTTTTCCTTGCTCTAGATAACTGTTGTTGCACCTCGTGCTTCTGTTTACTGAGACTCAAAGAGAGCTAAAGGTGAAAGTGAAACACTAACAGCAGTTTTGCTCACGACTGTGTATAATTTAGTTTGGAGGACTGGGGAGGGATGGTGTATACTCGCATGGGTAAAACAGACAACTGTACTAGCCACAGTTCCATCATCAACTCTTTGCGCTCAAACACAGCCTGTTCAACCATTACTTGTACTTTTACATATATCTCAATAAGGTATTGATTAACCGCAATCACCAACACCACCGAGCGGTCACCGCCATCATCATTATCATCCCCACCCGCAAATACGCCATGATGACCACCGCCACGCTTCAGTCTCGGTCAACTGTCACTAAACCCATTATTTTCCAACTTCAGTGCCTCTGATTAAAAGATCGTTGATTGGACCTCTTCAAAGTTTTTGCCGAGGTACTCGGACAAAATTTAGATATTTAACAACCCAAGGGAAGTCTGAATTCTGTGCCGAATCGCTGACAACCTTTCTTTGGTCCACACTCTAGTTAAACTACGTTTCTAGCGTACACTCAGGGCTAAATTTCATTACTTCGAGTAGCTGAATTTTACTACTTTCTGCAAACTGGCAAATGGCAGTGTGTAGTATTTTACACCCACACCATTCTTTACCTCTTTCAATGACGTTCTATACAAGTCTTATATCTGAATGTCATGTTCTATTGCGAGTGTATTCGATTTGTGGATCTAAGGTCTTACTGGAAGAAATTAAGGATTTTCTGTGGCAACAAAATAATATTATATTTTGTTGTATGTCCCCGTCATGACATAAAAAGATACGAGTGGGGAGAATTATTTGTTGCGTGTAACCTTGCCACGTAAAGCGACCATGAAGTTGTTTACAAGACAGACTTGAGTTCCTGGATTATATTCTCTGATAAGGACATATGTCAGCACGAACTATAGAAAACTACATGTTTTGAAATCAAACTACATGTATAATTATGATGATACTATTTTCTCTTGTGTGAATCGCTCATTTATCATAATATGATAGATGTAAAGCGTTCCGAGATTATACTTGTATGGAATAGAGTGCTATATGAATTAATGCTGTCTATTATTATTATTATTGTTACTATTATTACTAATTTTGGGGGTTTGCTAAAAGTGCATCTCTTCATGGAAATTGGTGTGGTTGAAAGGCGTCCTTGATCTTGTGTCTTGCTTCTCCCTCCGTTGGTTCTGTCAGTGAGGCTTCTTTCTCCGTGTGCCCCCCCACCCCCCCCCCCCCCCCCATGCTTCCCTATACTATAGTTTTGATTTGTCCCCAAAAACGTATGGATATCTGTATTCGTTGGGAGCTCCTTCAACTCCTGAGATATCATTATGTGAGTGGCCCTAATATGATCCCGAAAAGGACTTTCTTTGACCTTTGGTTGTTCAGATCCTTTTCAAGGCACCTGATTTACTTGGCTCGGTGCTATCAGAGATGGACATGGAATTCTTAGGTCTTGACTTTTAAATAAACGTACAGTCTTAAGATGTACGCCAATCCCAATGTTATCAAGTAATCATATTAGAGTGCCCCTTTCCTGGCAGACTGCACTGAGTCGTCCATGGCGTAGCTACTTGCATCATCGGAGCTGGCCCATCGTAACTTATAAATAAGGTTTATGATCTGTGAACACCCCCCCCCCTTGCACACTCACACCCGATGTGTCTTATTCGAGCTGGTCAAGGTATGAAAAGAGCGTCCTCTTCATGCTGTTGTAGTTGTCTTTTAACCACTGACTTTTTCTTAAAGAAGAAACCTGATCTATTTCTTTGTGCCATGACTACGAG